GAGGCACCCCCCGCCTCTCGGAGGCTTTCAAGTGGCGTGAGGTGGTGTGAGTTAAGCGGCGGGAGCTGGGGGAGGCTCGGAGCCCACCGAGAGGGGACGTGAGGTGGCGGTGCCGGGTCCCGCGGCCTGTGAGGGCGGGAGTGGCGTGTGGCGGGATCGTGGTCTCACGAGAAGCCTCGCCTCAGAGGGGGGTGCGCCGACGGCCGGTGTGAGGGCGGCCTTGGGAGGGAGTCGGTGTGGGGTGAGGTGGTGCTCGGGGGAGCTCACAGCCTTGAGAGTGGGGGTTTGGTGGCCGGGGAGTGGGAGAGGCTCACCTTGAAGGTGCTGACGCCTGGCTTAGTCTTTAATTTGCTGTGAGTGCTTCATTGTTCATCAGGCTTGGTAGAAGGGGCTCACAGAGCTGCAGGAAGGGACCTGCCAGGGTGCGGGGGTGGCCACGTTCTCATCTTGAAGCAGTAGCTACCTTTGCTATGTTTCCGTTTGCTGGGAAAGCAAAGGTGCTCTGAGCCAAGAAAGAGGTTGCTGACGTTCAGGCCGTTTTGTAGCCTTGTGAAAAGAGACACTTTGGGGCAGGGAGAGCTTGGCCCTGGAGTGGCAAGCTTCCAGGTGCTGTGAGGCCGGTGTGGGTGACAGAAGCTTGGCAACAGCACTCGTGAACTAAGCGTGAGGTCAGGTGAGAGGAGGGACTTCTCCCGGGCTCATAGCCTTGAGAGAAGGGATCTGTTGGTGAAGGGTTTGCAAGCACCTCACCCCAGACTGGTTTTTGCCTTTGCTGAGCCTTAATTTATTATGAGAGCTGTATATGGGACAGTACTGTGGTGGTGGTTCTCGTGAGCTATATCCAGGGCATCTGAGGTGTGTGCTCAAGTGGACTCATTCTCTCAGGAGAAGGTATCTATCTGGTGGTGTGTGTGGTGGAACAGCTTTGCCATGAAGTGGCTGACATCTTTGCTGGCCTTCAATTAACTCTGAAAGTGTTGTGACAGCACTCACAAGCTACGCGTGGGGTGGTTGGGGGCAGCAGGAGTTCAGATGGGCTTGCAGCTTTGCAAGAAGGGACCTGTGTTTGGGAGAACAGGAAAATTGGAAGCTTCCCCTCAGAGCAGTGGATGCATGCTGTACTTCTCTGCTGTCAGGGCAGTGTGGAGGGCACTGGAACGTGGCAGCATTCATGAACCAAGTGATAAAGGAGTTGAGAAGGATTCTGGAGAGCTTATATATACACCATACTACATGTTAACTCACTGTGAGGGCAGTGCAGGTGGAAGCCGACTGCAGTGGTTATTCACAAGCTGTTGGGATGGTTGGTCACGGGTGCGGTTTTTAGGTGAGCTTGTAGCGTTGCAAGAATGGGCCTGCTGTGGGGAAGCGGTGTTGTTTGGGAGGCTCTTTCTGGAGGGGCAGATGCTTGTGCTGGGCTTCCGTTTGGTGTGAGGGCACAGGCAGCGGGAAGGTGGCTGTGCAGTGGCTGTGGTGCTCATGAGCCACGTGAAGGATGGTTCATGGCAATCCAGGTGGGCTCATAGTCTGAGCAGCATATACTATATAACTATAATTATTATAGGTCAGTAAGCAGATAACTATATTGTGTATGTCCTCTTAGATTTTTTTTTGTATATATTACTATTAATGTGTATGTATTATCTCCACCACAGAAAATATTTCCCTGGATGTCATTACTATTAAATATGTATGTTATAATTCAAAATTGCCCTAGAACCCATGAAGAATTAAAAACTTAAAGAACAGCATTAGAAATAAAACTATTCCCAAGTGGGAAGGGAAGTAATTTGCTCTTGGAGTATATAAAGATTTTATGTTTTGTACAGCACTGCATACCTTTATCAATAAAATATTGAAATACCAAACATCAGAGACCCATAACTAGTTAAGAATTAAGGCTGCTGTAAAAAAAAAAAAAAAAAAAAAAAAAAAAAAAAGAAATGCTATAGCTATATCCTATCACATATCTTTTTGTTTTGACTGAAATGGATACATAAATATTTAACTTGCTTTAGTAAATAAGCCATAAGAGTAACTTCAGCATGATCAAAAAATCTTTTCCATTCTAAACAGTTAAGAGTTTAGGTAGTTTAACAAACAGTAAAAAGAAAAAACCAAAAGCCAAAATTATATATTTCCTACTAACAGAAAAACACAGTCTTTGACTCTTTTGTTAAAATCTTCCTATATTCTTTCAGTAAATGGTAATTTTGAAGAAATTAACATTGCTCTGTCAGATCCATTCCTATTTGGTAAATACTGTTGCTAACCTAGTCTTAATTGGGTAACAGGCAAGGTTTTCAAGGTTTCAGTGAAAAATTTTTCATGTCTCATTGTATAAAATGATTACCGTAATTCGTAGTTTAAACGAAAAACTTCAGTTTTTGTCAGAATGGAAGTAATAGCTTTACGTACAGTGCAGGCAAAATGGAAGTTCAATGCCATGTTACCACTAGCTGAATGTTTTTTCTTTATTCCCTAAAATTCAGAGTTTATAAATTCAAAGCATTTTATCCCTTATTCTAATAAAATCAGCAGATCTTTATGTGAAGAATGATCTACAAACAGAATTCAGAGGATCAACTTCACCTTTTTTACTGTTGGGTGGGACACTGCAGGTGTCAAATACATGCAAAAATGCTCTTAAACTGTGGGTTTTTTTACAAACTTAGTATTTTTTTAATTATTCACATAGTGACCTATCTCCTGTGCCTTGTGCCAACATAAGTTCTATAAACTTCAGTCTTAAAAATGGTGTTCAGTTGATGTCTTGACTTTTGTGATATCTTTTGGAGACAGAAATTTCATCCCTTGTTTATTATTCCTGAGGAACCTAAGACTAACATTTTTCATGGCTGTATTCACACAGCTCTGTCTGTAAGAGGGTGCTCACGGATAAATTTAAGGTCAGATTTCTGAGTATTCACAATGTCTGTTGACAGGACTACCCTTGAGGGTACATTGGTTAGACATTTCTTGGCATACCAGGGTTATGTTTGTCTTTCACAGTCACTGTAGACGACTTCTAGGACGGCTACTGTTTGTAGTGCCCCAAGTCTACCTGCACTTTACTCAACTGTGTCGTTATGTCATGGGGTGAAAACAAGCAACCACAGAACAAAACTCCATAAGGCACATGGGTCATTAAGACTAATTAATGAGAGACCATGGGTCAAGAAATAAGAGATGAGGCAATTGGTCACCAGTGCAGAAGAAACATCTCCATTCCACATGAATAGAAGAGAAGACCAGAAGAACAGGTGTATTTTTTGCAGAGAGTTATGGCTTGAGAGATTGTAGAGGTTTGTGGTATGGGTCAGCCAGCGAAGTGGCCTCATTCATACCAAAGTTACTGATCACTTCCCCATTGAAAGATAGTGTGGTGCCACGTGAGTGCTTCGGATCCTCACGATGAGTAGATCTAGTCTTGGCTGCAGTAGTGTACACCAGTGCTGTGTTTCCAACAGCCAGGTTAAGCTAGCGTGGCTTGTAAGATGAGCCTGTCCCTGTGGTGCTGTTCTCTCCTACACTCCCATAGTGTATGTGCCTCTTTTCCTGCCTAGACTCAGAGATTTGTCTTGTCCTCTTTCACGCTTCATTGC